TTTTTCAAACTGAACCCTACTGGACTGTGTTTTGAGAAAGCATACCAGGAATTTATATTAATGTTATGATATTATCTCAATAAATTCAATACATTAATGCACCAATTTTTTATTTTATCTTTATAAATTATTATACTACAAATTATACTTCTTATAAACAATAAAGTTATTCCTATAGAAGTACATCTGCTTCTAAGAGCAAGCAAGACTCAGTCCAGAAAAAAAATCAAGTGCCGTCACCTCTCGAATAAAAATTCAATGTGTTTACCTGAATCTGGTCAAAAAGAAACATAAAATAGAGAGAAATGCCATTGTCATCTCTACCACCCCCATGCCCTTAGTGCCCTCATAATTACTATTCACATTACTAATCCATGTAATGTACTACCATTTTAAATGGATCATTGTTAAAGAAGTAAACTCTTGCCTACACCAAAATTTTTTTGATATAAAGGTTCTTTCACACCTATAAGCCCTTCAGAGATGGGATTCAATAGTTTCTCCTACATTATATTTAATTTTGTCAATATAAAAAAAGTCACTTGGTATGACTTAAAGGAAAAAAAACTAAAATTCCGGAATTGTGTCAATGTTTTTAGTGAAGTCTCCAAAAGGGAGGGGAGGGACTTAATAAAAAGGAACTTAGGAGTTACACTACACAGTTCATACATATTATAAATAAAACAAGCAGTAAACCATTTGACATTTACTTCACACTGCCTGTACAGAGAACTGTATTGTGTGAACTTCAAAAGGAAAAAAATGTAGATCATCAAGGTTTTCTTGGAGCTAGATCATACTTAATTCACAGCCCTGAACAAAATACTCGGGAAGACCAGGCATATTGGCTAAATGATATTGCTTGAAAGTTCATTTCAAATAGTAACATGTGGCCGACTGTTGTTTGTCTGCTTAACAGCCATTCTCCCCTCGCCAGCTTCCCTGCAGACCCTCACTGTCACAGCCTGTCCTGCAGCTGGTTCAGACCAGTGCCACCTAAGGGGAAGTCGGTCAAAGACCTTGAAGGAAGGATCTTCTTTTCTCAGAGCAGAGCCGCATAGAGGAGGTCCTGCCACTCTTCCTGCCTTGGCTGTTGTCCTGTGAAATGTGATGACTCAGCAGTGGGTCCCCTGTAACCAAAGGGGAAGCCAAGAGACTAGAAGCCCACCTGCAGGCCTAACATGGTTGAGCCACAGAACGAACCAATGGTGGAACTTCCTGCTTCCAAATTTATTGACATATGAGATTAATTAAGTGTCCTTCTTGGCCAAGCCAGTTTCACTTCAGAGGTCTTTATTGCCTCTGAAAGTTCCCAAACTAATGTACAAGAGAGATGCATCCTACATGATAAGAGTTTCAGCATCTGGACAATATTCCAGTGTGATGAGGAAAACAATCAATTGTTGATTTTTAAAACATATTTTAGAATAATCATAAAATTAAATAATGACAGCACAGGTGCTATTTTCCAAAATGGCAGCCACATGTCAATCTGATTCCTTGGCCAGTGGCACATATTTGCCTCAGTCATCTCCGTCCATGAAACTTGGCCTTGTTACAGCAGACACAGCAACAACTACGTCCTTCTGACAGGATCCTTTTCCCAGTGGTGAACAAAATAGAAGAGGAAGACCTTTAACAGAGTTTAACGTTAATATGGAAGAGTATAAAAATAATCTCACCCATTTTAATTCTAGTAGAGACTGAAGCAAGACCAGTTAACCTCTACCTTCCTTCTTCCATCTATGGAGGGGGTGACTCAAGACATAATCTTTTGAAAGACAGATTTAAAAACACCAAGAAACCCTAATATTACCCAATAGAATTTTATATTCTCTAAAAATGTAGTACTTGATGGTTTCCCTGAAAGAAAATAAGCTTTTAGGAGAAATAACTGTTGTTTTATATATGCCTGAGAAATTTTTTTAGTTACTGAAGAGTTCTCTGTTTAATCTCTGGAACATATCATTTTATTGGTATATGTTAGACCCATTCTTGTTTTAAGAGTTTTACGTTGGATTTTTAAACTAAAATCCACTGAAACATAATTTTTCCAAAGTTTCTTAAATTGGAGACATACAATACGTTGATAGTCTCCTATCTCACTTGGTATCCAATGTTTGGTAAAACATCCCCTCCTCTGAGTTAATTCGTGCCTTCAACTGTTTATATTATTATGCTGTGGGCTATTCAGTAACAAGACATCTGTTCAGAAATCCCCCTAGAAAGTTTCTTACATTATTTATGTCACTACTAAAGCTATTTCCCCTCCCTTAAAAAACAGCTGCTTTACATACAAAAGAAAAAAATCATTATTTAGCTGGCCATGTTGATAGATGATTCTCGTTTGCTTTTAGCTAACCAGTCATTGTCTTTTATACACTAACTGGTTTCCTAAATCTCTTCTGCTCTCAAAGATTGTCAAGTAGCCATTTAATTTAATAGTAAATTTTAAATGCTATTCTTATATTCTCTCAATTAAAAGTAAATTTTTAATGATTTTTGGGTAAACAGTTTTAATCTCACAAATCAGATTCCCCAAATACCTTATAACACGATTTTTGAAAGCTCTGAAGTTTTGTCTGCTTATTTTCTCCCGCAAGCTTAATATACTTACCCAAAATTTCCACATTCCACATCATTAAAGATTTCATCTTGTCTCAAAAGAAAAAGAAAATTTAAATGCCAATTAAAAGCCAAAATCAACTATTTTCAGCCTCAATTTTCAAATGTCAGCTTGTTTTTACCTAATTCTACTAAATTTATACGGTGTAATTCTAAACTTCACAATTTGACATTTCCCTGCTGAAGAAAAGCAGTAGAAACTTTTCACCATCTGTGTTGCTTTTGGAAACCAGCCCCTCCCATCTGCGTCCGAGCAAAGCAGCAGCGCCAGGCGGGTCTCCACTGCGCTCAGCACTGGAGCCCCAGAAATTACCTGTCGTTACTGTGAAGTTGAGCGTTCTGGACAAGGGCCCTCTACGAACAAGGGACCCCCAAAAGAGAGAGGTGACTTTCTGCATTCGACCAACCATCAAAGGGAGTTCCGATTAGGAGGAGAGGGGAAAGGAATGGACAAAAAGACCAAGTATTAAGGGCGTCTTTGCATTTTTGAATACAGACCATTTTCTGCTGAATCAGCTAATATTTCTGAAGCCTTTGAATTTCTGATTCCTATCGAGTTTAGTTTTTCCAAAACAAAATTGAGAAGGAAGTTTTATTTTTCAGTATAAAGAGGTTCTAACTAGACTTCAGTTTTAAAAAAAGAAGAAAAAGACGATGGCGGTATAACTACAGCCTGGTGGATATACCTAGAATTCTTGGCCCAAATGCAGACCTTGACAAAAACCGGGGGTGGAGGGGGGGGGAAGGTCCTGCCTGTCTATTTAGAGTGTGGTGCCTAATGAGGTGCTAACTAAGCTAGAGAAAACAGGAGGAGGAAGACATAGATTCCATTAGCTCAAGCAACATACAAATGCTGCTCGTTATGTTTGTTTCATGACAGGAATTGTTCTTAAATAGATAACCACCAACTACCATCACCCCCACCCCCAAAAAACGGAACTGGCTTCAAATGTACCTATGCTTCTGCTTCTCTGTCCCCACACCCTCGACAACTTTGGTTTCCTAGTCCTATTCGTTCCTGCTATGAAACCTGACAAACGGCAAAAATCTCGAACCTGAGAGAGAGAGAGAGAAGCGAGGGAGGAGGGAGAGATGGAGAGAGAGAGAGAACGCATTTTGCCACCCTCCTGGCTAACTGAAATGCTTGTTCCCGAGATTACAGTAATTACAGCCCCAGCATGAGTTCCATACAAGCGCTAAATGAAACAGCACATCAATTAAAAAATAAACACTCCATTCTAGGAGAAAGACAACCCCCTGGGACGTCCTAACAGGCGTAAATGAACCTGCCAGGCCGCCGGCCCCTCGGCCCCCCCTCCCGGTTTTAAGGTGGTTGCGGAGCGGCGGGGGCAGCGCCGTTGGCCGCGTCCCAAGCGGCTGCTAAAAGCAGCTCGCGTCCCACTCCGCTCGGTACAGAGCACGGATACGTGTCCGCGCGTCCGCGCCAGGGCGCAGCCCCGCCTTCCCCGGCAGAAAAGGAGGCTCTGGCAGAAACATGTGAACTTTGGATAAACGTACATATGTTCCAAAAGTACGAGGGAAAGAGAGAGAATCCAGCCGCAGAGTTTCCAGTCTGTCCTATTTATAAGGTTTTTTTCTTTTCTTTTTAAGGAAAAAGGGAATTATTTTTCATAAGGAAGCACTGTGTCCCGCATGCTTTATGTATTTTATCTCACCTAATTATCAAAACTCCCTTTGAGAGCTGTACAATTACCCCAGGTAGGGAAACTGAGGCTCCCCCAGTCACTCAGCGGAGGCGGGAGGAGAATCGAGGCCCGTCCTTGTGCCCCGCGCCCCTCGCGCGCCCGCGACTGGGGTCCCGGACCCCTGCTCCCTGGCCACCCCTGGTCCAGCCCCACCATCCGAAATGAACTGCCGTCGTTCCACTCTCCCATATTCCAAGCCTCGAAGACCATCATTCTGAGAACCCCAAGAAGGGCACCCCTTCCCGGGTTCCCCGTGGAAGGGCGCGGGCCCCCCTGGCCAGCGCGGCACCCACATTCGGGGAAAGGAGTAGGCAGAGCTTTACTTGTTCGAAACGGGCCTAGGAAAGCGCGCGCTGCCTAAAACCCCGTCCCCAGTGCCCAAGTGCAGACTCAGGGAAATGGAACCGAGACTTCAGATGCACTGGGCGCCCTGGGAACAGCCGTGGCAAACCTCGGTCTCTGCGGTCAATCCCAAGGTTACCAAAACTCTCCATCCGCAGAAAGCGCGCATGGCCGTGCGGACACTCGGGACCGCCTTAAGGAAGGCTGAGCCTTGGGAGCGTGTAGACCCCGCCCCGCCGCCCGGCGATTGGCGCGTCCGGCCTGGGGCGGAGACCGGGTCCGCGCCGTATAAATATTCATGAGCCGGCCGGGCGGTGCGAGCGGGGCCGGAGCCGGGAAGTTGGGTGAAGGGCGCTGCTCCCGCCGAGGAGGAGGCGGCGGCTGGGTGCGGGCCGCGCCGCTCAGGTGTCCGCTCCGCCCTCTGGTCTGGATTTGGTTCTGCGTATCTGGCGAGAAGGGGCCTCCCACACCTCACCCGATTGCTTGGCCGCAGCGCGGCGCGGACTTTTACCGGAGGCGGGTCCGTCAGTCCCGGCGGCGGACCGACGGGCCGACACCGGGGGAAGAGGGCGGCGGCCTCGGCGGAGGCGGGTCCCGAACTCCGGAGGCAGCGGCGCGGCTTTGGGGGCGAGCATGAGCCCCCGGGGGCCGAGAGGGGGCCGCAGGGGCTGACCTGGCAGGGGAACGGCCTGGCCCAGCCATCTTGACTGCGCACCGCGGCCCGAAAGGAAACTTGCTGCGCCGCCGCCCTCTGTGCCCGGCAAAGTCACCGGCGCCGGCGCCGCGCGGAGAAGTGGCCCGGCGCGCGGGAGAGAAAGCGAACGAGGGACGGACGATGAGCCGGGGCCAGCCTCGCTGCTCCGCGAGGGCTGAGCTCGACCGGGAGTGAGCAGGGAGACCCTCGGGGACTGGCGTGCACTCCTGCAGCCGCCCGCGTCTCCCCGGAGCGGCGGAAAGGAGGTGCGGACCGCGCCGTGTGGACGCGTCCCGCGAAGGGACTAGGTTACCGGCAGATCCCGTCCCGTGAGAGGCAGAAGAGAGAGCAGCAGGACACCCGCCCTCCTCTTCTCCGGCCTTCTCGCCGGATCCCCCGGCGCCCCTCCGCGCGCCGCCTGGAGGGCGAGGGCTCAGGGCTGAGGCGCGCAGCATGGAGTGGGGTTACCTGTTGGAAGTGACCTCGTTGCTGGCCGCCTTGGCGCTGCTGCAGCGCTCGAGCGGCGCGGCGGCCGCCTCGGCCAAGGAGCTGGCGTGCCAGGAGATCACCGTGCCACTGTGCAAGGGCATCGGCTACAACTATACCTACATGCCCAACCAGTTCAACCACGACACGCAGGACGAGGCGGGCCTGGAGGTGCACCAGTTCTGGCCGCTGGTGGAGATCCAGTGCTCGCCCGACCTCAAGTTCTTCTTGTGCAGCATGTACACGCCCATCTGCCTGGAGGACTACAAGAAGCCCCTGCCTCCCTGTCGCTCCGTGTGCGAGCGCGCCAAGGCCGGCTGCGCGCCCCTCATGCGCCAGTACGGCTTCGCCTGGCCCGACCGCATGCGCTGCGACCGGCTACCCGAGCAGGGCAACCCCGACACGCTGTGCATGGACTACAACCGCACCGACCTCACCACGGCCGCGCCCAGCCCACCGCGCCGCCTGCCGCCGCCACCTCCCGGCGAGC